TTATTCATTTATTTATTTAATTAGCTTGAAAACAATAAAATCTATCCAAGAGAAAAATGCGAACGCTCTACGCGTTGCGTTTTGGGGGAGATCGGGTTGAACTGGAATTAAAAAACGGTGGAGCAAATGTACGTGCTTAAACCAGTTAGTCCGCTAATGTCAATTCAGAGGCACCTTCTCGTACTGGTTAACTATCTGGTCTTTGCCTTTTTACTGTAGTTATTCACTTTAAGTTCAACAATAATTTCAAATATTCCTCCTCATTTTTAATCATTGAAAAAGTCCGAAAAGTCATCCAAAAAAACATGGCTTTCAACCAGTATCATCCCGTAAAGTAACTATTTGAAAACCATCCCGTTGTTTCGTAATTATTTTTTTTCTTGAGGAAGCTTAAGCAACGACGACGGCGAGGGCTACAAAAAAGTCACTGATAAAGTGAAGCCTGACTTCATTGCACTTATTCCATCTCGTTCAATTCGTCAAATGCTGGCAATTTTTTCTGGAGTTGAATTCTAAAAGAGTGTAACGAACTTCAAGAAAGGAAAAACATGGTCGTTCTTTTGTGTTCACGTCCTCCACAGTACGTAAAAATAGGCATCCAGTTCACGTCGTAGTCATGCAGTAACGGCAAAGAAATGTACAAAAAAGCGTGATGCACGTGCAGAGTTGTTGTTTTGCCAATCTAAATCTATTGCTGTTTTGCCGTTCTCGTTGACGTCGCCTTCGTCGTTACTTAAGCTTCCTATTGTTCATCAGTCATCTTACTTTACTACGTTGTTAAGTATTTCCTTTTATTAGCACGACGTACGTTATTAGGCCACATCTTTCTTTGGGATTCAATTTCTGTTCTTTCGTTGTAGCAGCGTTGACCAAGAAATGAAATGAATCTTTTTCATTTTGCTGCCTTATTTTGTTTACTTTTTTTCTTGTCGTCAAAAATTTTGCTTTTTTCCCTCGGTCCGTTGGTAATAAACCGTTATATTAACAGTTGTAAGAATTCTTACCTTTCAAAGTCTCTTCGTCAAAGTCTAGTCCTTGTTCACCGGGTGATGTGACTTTTTTTTGACTCTCACTTCCTGCTTTGATTTCACTCTCCGCCATGATCATGAAACCACGAATGCTTGGATCAAGAAAATAAAGTTGTTTGAATTTTATCATCACGCAGAAATTCTTTAAAATTGTGGTTTAGTTTATCATCGGATTCATTAGATGTTAAATTTAAAAAGTTTCACGAATCAACTGGGCTTTAGTCCCGGCTGGCAAGATTGTACTGACAAATGTGCCATCCATCAATGACAAACCTCCCACCACCATCGGGCAGCTTCCCAGAAGCGCACAACCTATAAACTGGGCCCTAGAGGGGTTGGGGGGGGGGGGGGACTGAGAATACGTAGGACTAAATAATAAAACGTAATATAGTTAATTAAGGATTCCAAAGGAGTTACGTGCGGTATTTTTGGTTTTTCATTCTCGGCTAATAAGATCGACTTGAATTTTTTTCCGGTTCCACATATTGGTTGGTTCGATAACCAACTGCGATTAGGTGCTTCTATGTCCATGTTTAGGATTTGTCGTACATCGGTGCTTTGTTTTCGCTGAAATTTATTTTTAAAGTGGTTAACTCTTGTTCACTGCAATAAAAAACTGGAGAGAGAGGAACCTTACATTCGACAATCCAAGTTTCGTTTGTACGTTATAATTTAAACAAGAATTATACGCCTCTTAGAACACGAGTTTGACGACCTTTATTTCTGTGGAGAAAGAAATGGGCTGTGAGAGCCATAAAAAAGGAATGCGAAAGCAATCAAAAGGCAAATGTGCCCAATGGGAGAAAATATAACCTACAAAAATATATTTTGATAGCTTTTTCCACTTCGACTATTAAATCATGAGTAGAACGGGAAATGACTTAGAATTAAAACCAGTTAGCTCAACCACATATTTTAGCGGAATTTCCCGCGCAGCCTTTTTTAGCTTTGCTCACATAAAAGACAAAAAGAATATGGAAACCATAATCGGCTGTTTTTCTACTGAAATGCACAATAACAAAGACGGCAAAACAACATTCCGTCAAGTATGTAATCTAGGCAGGAAAACAGTCATACGAGGTCGGTCATTAGTATAGCTTACTTGTATTCGCAATGAAGAACGACCTCCTGGATTCCACTCGATCAACCTAAACTGCAAGGGCCTGGAAGCTGTGCATTATTCTTCTTTTTAAAGGTATTGGTGTAGCACGCCCAATAAATAAACGGGAGCGGCAAGTGGCTACGCCACAAGCCGCGAGAAACGACGACGTAATCCCAAGAACTCAAACTCTTTTTGACACTGACGTGCTCGTAACTGTAGACAACTCCACGGATTTTAAGTAAATAGGTGGACTGTAGGCACTTAACTACTATCAACTGCTTGATATGATGATATGAAAAAAGCATCAACCAAATAAACAACCTTTGTATAATCATGTGATGAAGAGGGCAGAACGTAATAGGACAGTTTTATTTAATGAACCATGACGTGCTTTAGTCGCCCTGACCACAAAACATTTGTTTCGATTTGTTGGTCAGGAAACCTTGGAAAACTCATGCTAACAAAAAAACATGAAGCCAAAAGATCAGTATTTTAGGAAACAGTATCTCATGACATCTTTTGAAATGACAAAAAGTGTTGTTTGGAAATTTGAACTGTTATCCACAGAGCCTGAATGAGTCCTTCGCGGGTTTATTGATGCACCAATACAATTTTTCAAACAACTTAAAAAAAAGAAAACTAAGCGAACACTGTACGGAGTCAACTTGAAAGCAATAAGAGAATTTACACACAAAAACAGCCAGAAGCATTTGGTTAACTTAGCAGAAAATTTAGAGCTGGTCTTGGGAAATGACCATGTCATTCATATAGAAAAAAAAAAATTGTAGTTCTATATTTTCCCAGCGGGCATAACCTCATATCATTGATTACCCTTTTTCCATCGGGAGTTTTTTCAAGTTAAAAAAATCTCAGATGAAAACTGAAATGTTAACGTTGCTTCCTTTTGATACGGTCCAAAAAAATAAAGTTTACTGAGTGCAAAATATCTGTGTTTCACTTTTGATGAAACCGAAGTTTATTCAGGATAGAACAATACTAGTTCACCCAAGTATGATGATGACATCCGAATAGAAAGGAAATCTTTTCAGCTTTCGTTTTGAAAGGCGTGTGTGATTTTATTTCCAGTAACAAGAGGGTCTCAATGGGGTGGTAGCTTTTACGGTTATCGGCTAAAATTTTGGCTCTTTTACGGCTATAGGTTAATTTTTTCCAGTTACGGTTAACAACAAAGTTAAAAATTAATTTCTTTTGTTTCAAGGAGTTAAATATTAATAGACCGGTATTTTTTGTATCTTTAAAGCAAAATAAAGGTCTTAGAGTCATCTCGGGAAGAAATAATCCTTTCTTTTGCAAAATTTTAGCATTTGAAGGACTGTACAGAACGACTGTCTGCCGTTGCCTTGTCCGTAGGCCTCATTCTTCCGCGCGGCTGATGCGTTTCGGGTCACGTGGTCCGAGCGAGTTTTTTTCTCAGATACGCCACCGAAATGCCTTGACCGAGATTACGTGGGAAGACGCCGTAGCGTCAGAGAAAAACAGGGAATTGTTAAATGGAATTGTTGTTTATCGTCGACGTGTTTTACAAAGAGTGACATCTCTGCGTGTTGCTAGTATTTCGAGGGCACGACCTCCTGAAAATCTCAAATATTAATCCCCAGCAAGAAGCCAGATTTTCGCCGTAGAAAAAATTAGTTCACCGAGAGAGCGGCGGCGGAAATGGAGCCCAGGTCTAGGTGGTCCTAGGTCAACACCTAAAAGCTAGGCGCTTGACCTGACGTGCGTACGAGGTCAAAGTAGCCGGGAAATAAAAACGCAACCATAAGAGAGTTTAGCACCTTCCTTAAAACTAACAAATCTAGGAAACGATTTCTTTTACGGTTAACTCTTTCTTACCCTATTTACGGCTAACGGTTAAAATTTTTCAATTTTTACGGCTATCGACTAAATTTTTGGCCGTTTTACGCCTATCGGTTAACCCCATTGAGACCCTCTAACAACAATACTGCAACTGGCAACTAAGCCAATTCGCTGATTTAATTTCTAATTGTGACAATAACAATGCCCGAATCTAATCGGCTCTTAACAGCCTATATTTATTGCGTTGTTTTGCTGTTGCAACCCCAAAACGGTCCTGTTACCAGCCTAGCTTGTACTCGGACAAGTCAAATCGGACCCTTAAACAGCCAATGAAAATCAAGTAGCAAATGTAACTAACCAATGAAAATTAACACGTAGCCAATGATAATCAATCAAAATCAGTCGAAAAATAATGGGTGAGCACGCTGTCCAGCTTCAGGTTGAAAAGCTGCTTTAACGTTTAATCAAATTAGGTCTTTTGCCTTTCGAGTTTAAGAGGGAAGTTCTAGATTTATTGACTTAAACGACTCAAAAGCAGTACTTTCTAAGAGTCGCTTTAGAAGAGATGTCTCGGTTTAATTTTTATTTTTCGATCACATTTTAGATTTATGGAACAGCCTGCCTGTAGCCATAAAAATAACTGATCAGTTATCTTTGTTTAGTAATAAAGTTAATGAATTTTATATTGATAAGTTTAATCCAAATAATAAAAGATGTATGTTTAGGGTACAAGTTTCCATATCAGTCTATCTAATAGCACATAGATAAATTATTTGATAGATAAGGGATCCTCGTGTTCTGTATAAAGTGTCCTAATTATGCAGATATCACTTTTATAAATTAGGGTTTCCTCTGCTTGTTTTTAAATGTAATATTTTGATTATCTGTGTAATTGCCGGCGGAAGTAAATAAATGAAGAAAGAAAGAAAGTGAGAAAAATAGGCAACATGACAGTGTGCATACTCGAGGAAGATGTGCTAAGCGAAAAATTAGGTTTCAGGAACCGTCCACATCAGTGTGCCATCCCATGACCACATAAAGTAGTCTGTTCCATGGATCCAGGCTCCAAGATAGTAGGGAAAGCGCATCGAGAAAAGTTGGGCGAAAACCACGGGGGAGCTGAGGAGAGACAGGTAAGTGGAGCATGTAAGCATGGATTTTTTAAAATATCTCATTCCGGTAAAGACAGCTCCTGGTATCACCCAATGATTGGTAAATTTTGACAGTTCACGTCAACCACGTCAATAGGAACTTCAAGATCCCGCGACGCGACGGGAACGAGAACTTAAAAAAAGAAAAAGACCCATAAGTTTAATAAGTTTCGCTGTTTCATTCCAGCTAGACTGAAAAATGGTTTAGTGTACATGATGGTGTACGGTACGTAAGAGCCCCACTCGCGCGAAGCGCGCGAGCCACACACCCCTAGACCTTGTAGTCTATTGGACGTAAGGCGATAGGCTCGATTTCTGTCGCTCTCTCGGTCCTCCCCGAGGAGAGGGATGGGAGTAGTAATCGAGCGGCTGGTAATCGAGCCTAGTGTAGGGGCGTCGATAAAACCAGGAACATGGAACATCCCGAAACATAAAAAAAATTAAAATATTTTTTTATGAAAAAATAACTAAATTAATTAAATAATAATATTAATAATAATAATAATAATAAATAATAAAAGGAACAATAGATAGAAAACAATTTTTGCAAAAATTTATAATAAAAAATAAATAGCATAACATAGCATAACATAAAAACGAAAAATAAGAAAGAAACAAAGAAAGAAAAAAAAAGAAACTGGTGTCATCTCCGAGTTTGAGAAAACAATATTTTGTGGTAGGGAATTTTTTGCAGTGGGCGAGTGAGGGTCCATTCAAATGACAGTAATAAGTGAAGGCTTGCTTCTAAATTCAAAATATATTAAAATGGGTCGCGAGGACAGGGTTTTCAAGTTTTCGTCACACAGCCACCTCTTGTAAACGTTTGCCATGCGGTTTAAGGGTTATCTATTTACGGTTTTGCGACCGTAAGAAGAGCTTAGGGGCTCGTCCCTTTGGACTTGGATAATTAAGTTAAAGATTCACATTCGCCGTGAATAGTTGCAGTGGCAGTGGTAGCGCAGCGGTAGTTTCTAACTGTTATCAGTTAGCCTGAATTTTAGCCGTCTCCCCGCAAACTCCTCTTGCGACTCGAGGAGACGTCTGAAATATCATGCTGACTATAAACAGTATAGAAACTACCAGGAATGTGAGTATTGTTCACTGAAATCCAAAGACAGGAGCCCCTATACTCTTCTTAAGTTCACAGAACCGCCTAGTCTGTAAGTAATTCATGTTCAAGTAAAGCAAAGCACCTCAAGTAAGCAAATGTCGGTTATATAAGGAGACTATATGTTGGCTTGAAATGAGCTACTTTTTTTAATACCGACTTGGCTTGACTTGAAATACTGCACCGACATCTGTAAACCTGAAGAAGGCTGGTATGGCCAGCCGAAATATTGTTATAAAAAACAATACACGTTGTTTTAAATCAGCTTTTCTGTAGTCTTCGGACTTCTCGTTCTTGACCGACATTTCAGACCATTGCAGAACCGTGAATGGATAACCGCCATAAACTCACGGCAAACAATTACAACAGGTAGCTGTGAGAGGAGAGCTTAAAAAACCCCCTCCTCGCGACCCATTTTAATATATTTTGAATTTAGAAGCAAGCCTTCATTCGTTACTGTCATTTGCATGAACCCTCTCGCCCAACAAATTTTAATTTGTTGCGACAAAATATTTTTTTCTCATACTCAGAGAGGATACCAGTTTCTTTTTCTTGATTATTTCATTATTTTTCGTTTTTCTTTTGTTATTTTACGTTATTATTAATTTTTACAAAAATTATTTTATTATTGTTATTTTATTATATTTTTTTTTCATGAAAATTAATTTTATTTTTTCATATTCCGGGATGTTCCGGAATGTTCCATGTTCCAGGTTTTATCGACGCCCGTAGTGTAGCCTGTTCCAGCCGCCAGATAGTGGGGGAGACGCGAAAAGTTTTCTCCCGTTTTATTTTCGTGTTCGCGCGTTCTCAATTCAGCGGGCCCGACTATCCTGGAGCCAGGAACAGGCTAAGCCTGGTGAGGCGAGAGAAAAGCAGGAGAAAAGTCTCGCTCTCCGTTTTCAGCCTCGCTCCAGACCTTTTGTTTGACTGTTCGCGCGTATATGAATACGCAAAAATAGGGACTGTTTTGCAGTCCCCATTCCGGCTTTCCCTTTTTTTTCTTTCTCGTTTTACGAAAAGATAAAGACACCCCACTCGGTGTATGGAGACACGTATTGTATCGCAGATTTCAAAATGGCGGCAGCAAGTGAAGAAGATGTCGAAGGCGATGCTCTAAATGGCGCTACTCTCCTGGCCTGTGCCTTGAAAACTCAAGGTGTGGAATATATGTTTGGAGTTGTGGGTATTCCGGTTGTCGAGGTGGCGGGAGCTGCACAGGCAGAGGGAATCAAATACATCGGCATGAGAAACGAGCAAGCGGTGAGCATTTCGCTGTCATCACACGCGCGACAGTTTAGTCGTTGATTGATTTTTGCAAAAATTCTCCAGCTCAGTTTGGGTATGATTTCCCTACAACTCCATACATTTATCATGCATGTAGCAATTTCATACTATTTCTCACTAATAGTTAATACAAACACTCTAAGTTCGAGATTGCTCCGAATCTCTCAATTTATAAAGAAAAGGTTTTCCGTTATTTTACGTGAAAAATTTAAAGCAAATCATAGGATAAGAACTTTTTTTTTTCTGTGATTTAAACAGGCAGTTTGAATTTACGAGAACAAAATCTTATTCTATGATTTGATTTAAATTTTTTCTTAAAAAAAAAAGGAGAAAAAAAAAGACTGAAGGATTTCCTTCAGTCTGGATCTCCTTTTGGATTTGAAACTGTACTCTATGTGCTAATCCAGATGTCAAGGATATTTTGCGTTCTCCAAGACCACCGTGAAGTTATTCGATAACAAAATCCATCGATTCAAACATTAAGAGAAGAGAACGCAGGAGTATAACTGATTTGGTATATTTTATTACATCATAACTTACAATGTTGTGGTTTTTGAACTTTATATATCACAATGTGGGTGAGGGCTAATTATCTAGATAGTGGGGGCTAATTGTCTGTATACTGGGGGCTAGTTGTCGGAGGCTAATTGTCCAGATTCTGCCTGGGGATGTACCTTGCAAGCAGAGGTTTCTCTCTTGCAATGTTTTTAAGCCTGGTTTCCATATGACTGTCCTAATCACCCCAGTCATTTCACAAAGTTTTGAGACAATCCTGACCATCCTGAAGCGGAGAGCGAACCTTGTGCCTTGCTATCTACTTTCTCTTTCCATTTTCGGCGTCGAGAATCTAGAAGAAATCCACGATGTCATAGTATCATGTTGAGAACTTGATATCACGTACTAGCTTTGTCTTGCTTCAATTGTCTCAGTTGTCTGAGAGTGTTGCCATATGATCACTTTAAAATGTCAACAGGTGTCCTGATTGTCCTGGATAGAACTTAAGTCTATCCAAGCCATCAAGGTCATACCAGTCATCTGGGTCGTTTGTGATCGCCCAGGTAACATTTCTATATAATCGTCCTGATTGTCTGAACATTAGTGAGTTTACGCAACAGGACGGCAGGAAGAAGAGGACAGCAGAACGCTCGTGTGTGACAAACGTGACAAGGCTATTTCTTACGTGTTTTGTCGTGATCTTCACTTAACATCAATGTTTTCTGGTCTTTTACAAAAAGATCTGTTTAAAGGAAAGTGAATTTTGGCGAAAAGTTTTTTCAAACAAAATTATTGTCATGCTTGTCACACAAGGTTTGCCGTCTTCTTCCCTCTCCCGTCCTGTTGCGTAAGTTCACTATTATTTGAGATGACTGGGATGATCGGGCTGATCCAGATGATCATATGAAAACCAGGCTTTAGCATTTACAAAGTTGTTCACGTGGCTTTGCCTGTCATGTTGTTGGTTTGTTTACACCCCGTTAGAAACTTCCTGGTACACTTTCATATATTCTCATGTAATGGATAGCCTGATACATTCTCTGTGTTATAGGCTTGTTATGCAGCATCGGCTATTGGCTATCTGACTGGAAGGTTAGTAGGGGAACTTGTTTCAATTGATGGGATCGAAAGAATTTGCTGTATTTGCTCGAATAATTGATTAATGGTCAAAATAAATAAACATATATTTTTTTGTATGGTGTTCAAAGTGTTCTAAAATTTGTAAATGAGGTGTTCCAAATTTAATAGCAGTTTAGAACAAGATGTCAATTACCCTAAGTATTATAAAAAATTTTTTAGAATCTACAGTGTACCTATATAAAACTATGGAAAACAAATCATTGCCAGATTTTGAACTGTAAGTCAGTTAGTCTGAAATAGGGAAGTTGGTCTTTGGTTTCTGGCAAGTTTGAAAGTTGACCACAACATGGAACCGAGCTTGTTGCTGTATACAAATTACAAATTAGTTTCTTGTTTGTGGCTCTAAGTTTTTGTATTGTATTTGTATTTGTATTTCATTTTTACTCCATCCTATAGATAATACATCACTTGTACAATGTTAATTAGTACAAGGTTGTTTAAACTACGTGTACATATGAAAAAAAAAAAAATTAGAATGGAGAAGGGTACATTATCGTAAAACTAATTAAGTTTTTCTAGTCCAGAAGCATTTTGTACTAGTCCTCCTGGACTACAATGTATAGTGGACTACCCCCTGAGGTTGAGCACTGTGTATGGCAAGAACTTTTGAGCTTTACTGGCACAGATTTGCTAACCAGTTCAAAATAAAGAATTTCAGCTCTAGATTGATACCCAGGCCCTCAACAACATCAAGAAAAATCCTCTAAGTTATTCACACTGTTTTGGTATTGCAGTAAGAGAGGAAGTACATAAGTAAAAAAGGAAAAAAAACAAAACAAATAAAGTTCACACGTATAATATTGTAAAACCCTTCAACATTAGATGGGATTGGGGAAGGTACCGCAAACAAGCACGGAACATAACCATGGCAACCCTGTGAGCAGCAACCACCACATACCGTCACACTGAGAACCTCAGTGAAAAAATTCGTCAATACTTACCAATGGACATGAAGAGAAAAGAAGGGACTGGGAGCAAAAACAGCTATAGCTATTGCAAAGTGAAGGCAGCAGTGAGCAAAATGATCGACTGCAGCGAAAGCACTGTAAAACTACTAGAGCACTGCAAATTCCAAAGACCACCTTATATACGATTAATGATAGAGACCTCTGGCCTGCATGGTCTTGTGACTAACTTCACTTAAATTACATTTAGCCATAGACTTTCTAAAAGTCGTTTTTTTTTTCCTGGTTGGTTATGCCATTTTAAAGGATCGACTTTTCATACCTGTTTGGTGCTAAATTCAATGGTTGAAAATTCTATCAGTGATGGCATGACAATTGACCAATAGGACAGTGAGTGATATTTCATGCGGCTCCTGACGCAGCATAATAATATTAGGGTTAAGGTTTAGGCTTTAAGGGCTTGTTTAACCCTTTAAGTCCCAGTGGTGACCAACATCAATTTTCTCCTAACCATATCTATAGATTGTCAAGAGATTAGGTTATGAGAATTAATAAATTGATCACCTAAGAGAAATGCTTTGATCTTTTATCAAATACTCTCAACTCATTCTTTATGGAAATGTATAGAGATCAGTTTGGAGAATTCGTATCTGGATATTGGGGCTTAAAAAAAGGTTAAAGTGGAAAGTGCACTGAGCTTATCCAGAGCTCTAGTTAACAGGCACTCCACTCAAATACTTTGAAACAAATAATTCATTAAAAACCCCAACTGGCAGGAGGCAACCAGTTGGCTATTTACAAGCGTGGCCGAGGTTTTGAACTTGAGATGGCCGAGAACAAATCTAGCAAGTGGCCAGAGTGGGACTTGAACCCAGAACCACTAGATTACAAGTCTGACATGCAGACCACTTGGCCACACTTCCAATATGCATATGTCAATCATTTTTTTCCTGTTTGAATTTATAACATGACTCAAATCCATTCATGCAAAACAAGTTGACCTTGAGAATTCGTCGCTCGCTTTAATAGTCACTGCGCGACCAGCTCATGCAATGAAGCTCGCTTTTAAGAATGTATGAGAGTTCGACTAGTGACAAGTCTAATTTAGCCACATCTTAATAGAAGTATATGGGCTATCTCAATTGACTAGTACCCAGTTTATTTATTGTGAATGGGGATTTCTTGCAGGCCTGGTGTTTGCTTGGTGGTTTCTGGACCAGGTTTATTACATGCTCTTGGAGGAATGGCAAATGCAATGAGTAACTGCTGGTAAGTCTGTCTGTTACATACCTAAAGTAGATGTAAGAATAATTTATTTTGATATTGTACCATGTAGAATGTAAAATTGTAAGTTTTACCTGAGGCTTGTATCATCAGTAAGAGTATTATTTTGGTAGCAACACTTGCCTGCAGTGAACCCTCAAGACCTTAATATATATATTCCTTTTGATGTTCATGCATGTGTAAACTTTTAGAAGCTTTAGCTAGCGGGAAAGCTTGTGTATTTCAATTTACATGTATTATTTATTCAAAATATTATTTTACCATTTTTGATTGGCCTTAGTTTCCTGGACAATTCTTTATTATATAACTAGCTAGCACTGATGAAGTTGGAAGGTGTGAGTGATATACCTACCACTGATACCATGGTATATTGCCTCAACATACAATCACAACTTTGTTTTGTGGAAGTAGCATGGCACCCTTGAGTTCACGGTGATCCAAACACAAGCCCGAATTTCTGACTATAAAACTGAATGGAGGAAATGCAAAAATAACCCAAAAATGTTTCTTGGTAAATGTCATCTACTTTTTGAGGAGTACAGTTTCTGTTGATGTTCTGAAGAAAAATATGAGAAGGATGCATAATTTAAGGTTGTTTAACTCTGAAATGTTTTGAATGAATAATAAAACAAATTATTTAATTTATTAGGCTTATGTATGATACCAAGAATTTTGCAGATCTCAGACACTGTTGAGGCCTTAGTGGATCACACCCTCCTCAATCTGTATAATTCTTCACATAGAGAGGCTTCGCACTCAACTTGAAAGTCCTTGAATTTTCTAAGAAAAATTCAGGGCCTCGAAATTCTTTGAAAATTGCAATCGGTTCTGAAAAGTCCCTGAATTTTGGTGCTAACTTTATTTATCCAACCCAAAGGAAAAGGAGCAAACACAAAAAGACATTCAGGATAAAATTGCTCATGTTGTGGTAGAACTCAAGGTCTTTTTTGCACTGAATGGAGTCCTTGAAAAATGGGAGATGTGTCTTTGAAAGTCCTTGGGTACGAACCATGCATAGACATTTGCACATTTCAAATTAATATCATTAAATTTTTATTATTATTAAATGTGAATAGCAATATTTAAGTCTTAGTACATTATTGCACTTCTTTGTCTGTGTGTCTGTTTCTTTAGGCCAGTTCTAGTAATTGGTGGTTCATGTGATGTGGATCAAGAAAGTATGGGTGCTTTTCAAGAATTTCCACAAGTAAGTAGTGGCTTGTTTAATGAGCAGAAGAACTGTTTTTTTTTGTTGTGGTTCCTTGTTAAGGTCTTGCTGGAAATAGTAAAATCCTGTATATTCCAGGTTACTTTTGACCATCTTTATTTTTGCACAATACAATGTATGAAAATTACAGTTAATTATTTTTTCATCATCTTGTTGTCCCTTTTTGCCTTGTTTTGCAGGTTGAAGCAGCAAGACTTTACACTAAGTACTCTGCACGACCAGGAAGCGTAGGGCAAATACCCTTCTTTGTTGAAAAGGTACTGCATATTTTTGATACGTATTTACATTTATTATTTTCATAAGCTGATACAATCTACAGTTTTGAAAATCCTTTTACATGTTAGTTATAGTTTTGGTGCAAGGAAAGTCTGTCACGGTCACTAACATCAATTATTAGGGACTTTAAGATCCAACAGCGCGACGGCGACAAGAACGTCGCTTAAAAAGTGAATTTGAGTTTTTTCAGTCTTTATAGCAATTATTCCTACCCACTTACTTTGTCAATTGTAGGCGAACCCTCTTGAAGCTGAATTTCAAGGGACCATATTCAAACTCAGAAAGAGAAGTAAAATTTCGTCGTTGCTTGTTTACGTCCTCCATAAAACGCGAAATTAGGCATTTTCACATCGTAGTCGTGCAAAAACGGGGAAGAAATGAACAAAAAAGTGTGTTGCATGTGCGAAGTTGTTGTTTTGCTAATTAAACCTATTGTTTTTCTGACGTTCGAGTTGTCGTCCACGTCGTTGGATCTTAAACTCCCTAATATTTTGATACAGAGACCTTCTTAGGTGGGGGTTTTGCGTATTGAATGAAGAGGAGGTCATGTCACTGTCACTATTTCACTGCTGTATTTGTGATTTTACTCGTTGTTGTCACAATTTCAACCCATCTTCATGTCATTTGTGGCCATTTCATCAAGAATCTTAATTACGTCACCGTATAAAGGTGTTATGCAGGTAATCTTTTAGAGGACGGGTAGCCTGCAAACCAAACTGAACACAGGGTTGTCGGAACAGTGACAAGAAGATTTATTCCAAAAATGAATGTAGTTTCCATGAAGTAAAACTCCGCAACAGCACGTAACTCGTTAAACTTACATGGCCTCCACCAACTTGAATCAACACTGCCTTTGGCACACTTGACTAACTCTCTTCACTTATGAAAACTAATTAAAACTTAACTCGGACTCACCTACTTATATACTTTTGCAATAACATTCTAGAACTTTCCAAATAGTCTCTTTATAGAAAGATTACAAAATATACCGCTTTAGAAACGCTTACACAAGATCCTAAAATAAACAAACTATGAACTCTCGCAAAGTTTCTAGAAAGTCACGCTAGTCACGCAATACAATTTTTCGTAACAAAAGCCACGTTGCTTGTCGGAATTTACTCTAACAGGGCATCAATACACACATGTACATATAATGTCTCTCTAGGTTAAGAACATTGTTATATTTAATCACTATCAATATATTTGTCTAGGTGTTATTAATCAGTGAATTAGTCCAATGAATTTGTCTGTATGTGGAAAGAAACTAAATTGTATAATTGAACTGTTATTGTTACAATTTTAAAATGATTTAAGTATATTTACCATGTTTAGTTTTACAAGATCCTTACTTGAAACTCCTTTTATATGTCAAAAATAATGGTTATTAATAAATTCTTAAAGTTTTAAAAGAGGATTTAATCCTTGTAAAAATATGAAAAAGCTTAAATGTATAAACAGCTACCATGATCATGTTGATTTCTTAGTCATATCTTTAAAATAAAATAATCTTTTTCATGTATAGGCGGTACGAACAAGTATGTATGGCAGACCTGGTGCTTGTTATCTGGACCTACCAGGAAATATGATTACTGAAACCATTGCAGCTTGTAAGGCAAGGTGACTGTTCATAAAAGCTGGATACATACATGTAATAAGTTCATAATATTTAAAAATATTCCAACAAGTGTTTTTACTGATGTTGTCTCTGCCTCTATTTGCAACTACATAATTTTGCTCCAACTATTTGGTATTAAGAATAATAATAATAATAATAATAATGATCGTTTATTCAACCTTTTTGAAGCATAAACTGAATTACAAGGCGGGTCTTTATTTACATACAAATACCGCGGAATTATGACACGTAAATATAACTGTTAATGTTAAGACATATCACATTTCGCTATTTTAAACGTGATTCTGGTATTTGATGGTGCAAAAATTTCCAAATCTGTTAGTTCTTGAGGAGGCAGGCACAGAAACAGAATCTGCTGTTCTAAGGGCATACGGTCTTGTGTGCGCAACTCGCGGCACTAAGCTTCGTAGCAGGTCGGAAGAAGAGTAACTTCGCTTGAGAAATGTTATGCACGCATCCTCCCCCCTCTGGCGCAGCAAAATTAAGCCTGATTATCAAAAGTCATTTTCCCCTGTGGTGTATGAAAAAGGATAATGGGGTTTCAATTGATTCAATGTCATTTCTTTACATGAGGTCAATTTTTTCCACAGATCAATTTCTCGATGTCCAGCCCCACCCAAGTCTTTGGCTGATCCATCTGAAGTGGAAAAAGTAGTTAAGATTCTTACTGAAGCTAAAAAGCCTCTTGTAATAATTGGCAAAGGTAATGAAACACTCCAAACTAGCTTCATGGTTGTTGTACTGATAACTTGACTATGAAAGATACCCAGAAATTACCAAGAAGTTTGTTGGAAAGTTTATGTGGAAACTTCAATTGAGTGGAATCTTAAAGTGCAATCATTATCATCTCATTAATCATTGTAAAACTTGTTTTAACAATGGTTCTCTTTTGGATGTCAAATTTGTTTCCTAAAAATTATTATGAATATTTAGCAATTTTATGAATTCGGCTTTCGTAGGATATGAAGAATTAAGCAGATCGAGGAGGGTGTTGGCCAAGGTGGATAACACCCTTCGAGATCTGCTTAATTCTTCATATCCTACGAAAATAATTCCTAGTTTAAAAACTTAGCTAAAACATGCTTACCTGCATCGATGTTAAGTTCATCTTCGATATTGTACTTTAAGGTTTGTCCAGCTCCGCAAATATTCTCCAAATAGCAGATGTCATCCTCCGAGTTGTCTTCTTGCTGTTTTTGCTATGTTTTTAGCTATTATTTTGCCTAGTTCCAGCTGTAGTTCTTACTCTTATGACTTAAAACGAGTGAAGTGTGTGCCATTTTTGCTTTCACAACCAAAACAACTCAACATCGTCCCCAGGTTTTCTCAGTAAATGGTGCATTAACCTGCAGCGGGCTGCATTTTTGGCGTCATTTCCTCATAATCTAAACACAAAATTCTTCCAAATTTGGTCATCAGTAACTGGTTATGGTGAATAATGTGTGTGCTTTTAGCCAATCAGAAGTGGGGAAATATTTTGAATGAATAATAATATTTAATGTTTAAATGGCTTATAAGTAGTTCTGTCATTAAGCACTAGGGAGTAAGCACAAGAAGCCAGCTTTTAGTTAAAGAGGAAAAAATACACAGTATTGAAATCAGTAGATCATCTTGTTAACAACAATTATTGTTGTCTGCTGGTCATTCAGACACTCAAAGTTACCACTCTCATCTTATAGTAAGTTATTATTTAAAATCACATTTTGCCTGTTCACACCCAGTTATCAATAGCACTGAATGTTTTACCTCCCATTTTTTCAAAAAAACATTTTTGTTGCTGTTCTTGTGCTAAAATTAGGTGCAGCATATGGGCATGCAGAGAAACCCCTTCTGGAATTTGTTGAGAGGTGCAAGCTTCCTTTTCTACCAACACCCATGGGAAAAGGTGTCATTTCTGATGAGCATCCATTAAGTGTTGCTGCCGCCAGATCAAGGTCAGTGAAGCATTGTAGTGTCAGATGTATGCATGCTTCACCCATGTAAGCCTTAGTTGTGAGTCATATGGTGGACAATAAATCAACAATACATTTTTATAGTTAATGAAACAGTTAATCAAGTAATCAATATTTTAATCAAGAGTGAAATAATTTGTTAATTCAAAATAGCAATATAAAAAAAGGCAGTAGAATGGCAACATAATAATGGGGTAATCCTGGGATGGACAAGCACTCTCTCCATTGGGTTATAATTAGCAAGGAATAACCCTACTTAGGTACGTTGTACTACTCAGACACCACTACACAGGTGAAACTCTCTCTGGGTGGGTTTCCTGCAGCTGCTGTCAGTGTCTTGTGGCCTATGTATGCCTAGCCTGGGTGGCAGGTGTTAAAAGGGGAAGGGAATGGGGGAATTTGAGCGTGTGAGAGTGCAAAGTGCACGCAAGGAGTGGAGACATTTCCTCCTCTATGTGCACTCTTCGCTACTTCCTTCCCCCTTTCACTTTCCACACAGGCTAATTAAAAGGTATTCCTTGATGATGATGAAAGAAAATTATATTCGTCTTTATTAGGGCATTGTCACAAGCTGATCTAATTTTCCTGTTTGGAGCAAGATTAAACTGGATTCTTCATTTTGGAAAACCTCCAAGGTTCAAAGCTGATGTTAAGATTGTTCAGGTACTTTANATAGTTAATGAAACAGTTAATCAAGTAATCAATATTTTAATCAAGAGTGAAATAATTTGTTAATTCAAAATAGCAATATAAAAAAAGGCAGTAGAATGGCAACATAATAATGGGGTAATCCTGGGATGGACAAGCACTCTCTCCATTGGGTTATAATTAGCAAGGAATAACCCTACTTAGGTACGTTGTACTACTCAGACACCACTACACAGGTGAAACTCTCTCTGGGTGGGTTTCCTGCAGCTGCTGTCAGTGTCTTGTGGCCTATGTATGCCTAGCCTGGGTGGCAGGTGTTAAAAGGGGAAGGGAATGGGGGAATTTGAGCGTGTGAGAGTGCAAAGTGCACGCAAGGAGTGGAGACATTTCCTCCTCTATGTGCACTCTTCGCTACTTCCTTCCCCCTTTCACTTTCCACACAGGCTAATTAAAAGGTATTCCTTGATGATGATGAAAGAAAATTATATTCGTCTTTATTAGGGCATTGTCACAAGCTGATCTAATTTTCCTGTTTGGAGCAAGATTAAACTGGATTCTTCATTTTGGAAAACCTCCAAGGTTCAAAGCTGATGTTAAGATTGTTCAGGTACTTTACAGACACAGTTGAACCTCCTGCTATCCCAAGTATCAATTTCAAATTTTTCTCTATCATTCCCAGACATTTTTTTTTGCAAAATGTATTTTTAGTCAAAAAGGACAAATGAAACAAAACAAGGAGAGGGCATAAGAGAGAGAAGTGGAAATCCTCATATGAAAGGATCAGGGAGCTTAAGCAATGACAACGGCTACAGTGACGAGAACGGCAAAAATGTAATAGGTTTGATTAGCAAAACAACAACTTTGCACTTGCACATCATGCTTTTTCGTACATTTCTTTGCTGTCACTGCAGGACTACAACGTGAAAATGTCTAATTTCACATTTTATGGAGAACGTGAACAAGTGACGATGAATTTTTCTTTCTCTTTCTTAACTTGAGTTTGGTCCCCAAGAAATCAACTCCAGGGAAATTTGCCTACATTTCACATTTTCAGTGAATTGGAATAAATGCGATAAAGTTTGAAAAAACATGAATTCATTTTAAAAGTGATGTTTTTGCTGCCGTCGCCATTTTGGATGCTAAAGCTCCCTTCTAAATGAGCAGCTGGTCAACCAACCAGCTCCTAATCGTGCCTGGCATGGCTTAACTTAAGTTTCACACTGAAGGGTTTGCACGACATATATTTGTTGTTAAAACTTATAATAAGTCAACATGGTCTGGGTGACTTTAAATGACATGTAACATGGGCATGGTGTCATGTTTCCAAAGGGCCACCATGCTGGATTTGTAATATATGGTTTCCATCATTCCAGGAAAAGTACTAAGAATTTTAAAATTTGAACATTATTCTTTAAAATAAAAAATGTTTTAAATTTTAATATTTCTCTACAGTTTGTTTGAAATTGTCATGCTGATATTTGGTGGGAATTTGACAGAGTACCTCCTTCCCCTCAGCTCCCCATCTTCTGTGAGAGTTTCATGCTGTACTGGTTTTTATTGAGCCAGCTTTAAAAAAATGTGTCAAGACATGACTATCACTAACAATTCTAAGTTAAATAATTTATCAATTGGTACTTTTTCCCTTGCAGATTGATCTCCATGCAGAGGAGATGGGGAATAATATTCCTGCTGAGATCGCGCTGTTGGG